TTTTGAGTACTTTCTCCACCACTGCTTATTTCTTTTCAACAAAGCTTGACTCAAGCACATCTCAGAAGCGTGAACTTCAGCTTGAACCATTAAATGTGGAAACATCAAAAGATTATTTTATGCCAACTGATGTTGCCGAGCGACTGTTCACATGCTGAGCGCCCTCCTATGAAATCCATATTACAGATGGAGAGTACTAGATCTCACAGCAGTGTTTGTGCTAGAGTGGTGCTCATTAAGGCCCTGTTTAATCTGTTCAAAATGGTGTGTGTTTACAGTTATTAGTTTATGAGCCCTTCGTGTCCAGTCATTATATTTATTGTTTTTGATTATCGACGCCTTCACGGAAAGAATTGAAGGAGCTAAAGCTGTAAGTTACTGGGACATTGCATAATCATCAACTGGGACAAGTTTCAACAGGACCTTATTAAAATGTTCCTTTAACCATTGATTAAATTGTTTTGCTTTTTTTTTTTATTATGAAAATCATCTCTTTGTCTCAAAGACATCAGAAATTTTCATCTAACTATTTTCACAAATGTCATTTGTTGAGTCCAGCGCTAACGGACTGAACTCCATTCAGAAACTGGACGCTGTGGTCAAACCCTCAGCAAGGAAAGTAGCTATTTGCTGTCGTAAAAGTCACTAGAAGTTGCTCGATGACATCATCACGCGATTTGCATATTTGGTCATGTGCGATCCATGGTCAACGTTAGCAAGACAACTTCTTCTTTCCAGGCTTTGCACTTTGACGTAGGCCTGTCACGATAACACATTTTACTGGATGATAAATTGTTCCAGAAGTTATTGTGATATAATAATGTTGTTTTGAGACCATTTTTGAGTAATATGATGGTAATGCCAAAATAATAATACAAGAACACATCGTAAAAGATCAATAAACATTAAATTCTGTCGGATGTCAGGTTTTATTTCTTGTCTATTTGGGTCTAGGTCTTTCTCCAGTCTCTGTCTCCTCTGTTAATTTCACTCATGTTTGTCACCTGCGTCTCCTGATCAGTCATTCCCCTCACCTGTTCCCTGTAGCATTTAAGTTCGAGTCATTTCCTCGCCTGTCGCTGGATTCTTGTGTATGTCTGTGTGTCACCTGGTGTCACCTGTGAACTGCCGACTTGTGTCTAAATAAGAGAAAATAAACTGAAAGATGAGACGCTGTCCGTTTATTGGTTCGCCTTCGCTCCCTAAAACTCCTCACCTGACAAATTCAGGTGAACATTTAGCACTGGAACTGGAAGACATTTGAAATATCCAAAATAAATCAAATTAATTTTGACAGCAAATAAAATAAAATTAAATTAATTTTGAAGTTTCTGTAAACCAAATTGTCCTTCAAAATAAGGAATAGTTGAGACCAAAACACCAAACTTAAGACTTTTATCATCCAGTTCTTGGCAGAAAGAGAGAAAAAAAAAGAGATAAACAATAATTCATGCCAATGGAAATGATTGAGTTTGTTTTAAGTCATCATGCGATGAATTGATTTATTGATTTATTGATTTATTGATTATTGCGACAGATCTAACTTTGAGAAAGATGCCAACGACTAAACGATTAACTGTAGGAAGAAATTAGTACAAACTGAGTAACGTCTGTCACTTTTGTTGTATTGGAGGATTTTATTGTTTAAAGTCAGACTCTGTCCTGCCCAAACCAGAGGCGGAAACGGATTCAGAAATATACCTGGTGACATCCCAGCCAGAAACGCTCTGCAGACTTTATATAACACAAACTCTTTGGGTCAAGGAGGTTGTAGGTTTTGTGTCCAGTAAATGTCTCTCAGCCTCTATAGCTGTTGGTGAAGCTCAGAGTTCATCTCATGTAATTACTGCACCAGGTCACTGACTTTTCTTTTCAGGTCTGGGTCCCCTGCTGCAGAGGTCTTCACTGATTTGTTGACCCTCTGCTGTCAATGATTTTCTGCCAGTGGCCATAATGCTGATGCTCGGGTTGGCATTGCAGTCTTATTATATCAGACCCTAAAGCTGTTCTCTCCTCACAGTATTAATCAGCAGACCTAGTTTTGCATTATTGTGGGTGAGCTTGCAGGACTGCTGTAAGGCCAAGATGTGGGAAAAGGCAGATTAGTTTATTCATTCATTAATCTGTGTTAAATACAGAAGTAAGTAGCTGCAGAGCCGCCTAATATTGGTATATCGTAGCTTTTCCAGGGTTTGTTTTACTATTGGATTTAGATTTGAGGGGTTTTTCTTCTTTTGTTTTCTTTTAATAGCTTTCCAAAATAAACGTTTTGCAATGAAACACTGTACGCTTCAGGCACACTTCCACGCGATTTCACCATATTAGTCAATTTGTTGCTTCCAGAGGGGGTGCACAGCGTTTATTGCATTACGTGACATACATAACCAGTTGTTTGGATGTCTTCGGTCTCAAACAAAGCTTCCTATGTTCCTCTGAGTGTCTTCGCTCGTAACAAACACGCGCTCATGCTTACTGGTGACAGTGGAGGCCAGGAACGTCACCGGGAGCCCGATGGCCGAGGAGAGGATCCAGTTGCAGACGTTGACGATCTTGGCGTTCCGCGGCGTCCTGAAGTCCAGCGCCTTGACCGGGTGGCACACGGCGATGTAGCGGTCGATGCTCATGGTGGTGAGAGTGAAGATGGAGATGAACATGTTGTAGTAGTCGATGGACATCACCATTTTGCACAGAATGTCCCCGAACGGCCAGGTGCCCATCAGGTAGTTGACGCTCTGGAAGGGAAGCGTGCTGGTGACCAAGGCGTCCGCCAGGGCCAGGCTGAAGATGTAGATGTTGGTGGCTGTCTTCATCTTAGTGTACCTAAACAGGGAGAGAGGAAAAAAAAAAAAAAAACACCTGTTACGGGTAAAGGATCTGTGAAGTTCTCACAGTTAAAGCATCCCGTCGTTCCAGTTTCCAGCCCCTGTTCCTTGTCCTTGACGCTATTATCTTTAAATCTGATTTTTGCGTTCGTACATCGGCCTAGAAAACAGCTCTTATCAACATAAAAAACAAGTAGAATACAAATTTTTAAAAATTCTTCTGTTACATTAGTAAAAAAAAAAAAAAAGGTGCTGGTATGGATCATGCCAATAGATTTGCCACCAGTGATTTAGTTGCAAACCTTTTTTGTTTCTTCCCCACATAATGTGGATTTATTTATTTTATTTTGAGCCAATAAGAGTCGTGCCAACCGACGTGCAATTTTACATCAATTGTTTGAAGAGGAGCAGGTAGAAGATAAAAGATCTTGTGATTTCCTGCCCCTCTCGTACAATGCGCGCAAATTAAATATGTCATTTCTTTCTGAAATATCCAGTGTCAAATCATGCTGCTGCAATAAAAGATGAATTAATTGGATTTTCTGCAATATGTGTACAGCGCCGCACACTGTGAACCGTGATGTGCTGTCATACGTTAGAGATGGTGGAGCCTTTTCAGGGTATTATTGGTAAAATAAGAGCTTAGTGAGTTTAATATTCAGTTAGATCTCCACCAGGGGATTTTTACGCTTAAATTATCCATCTAGGTATGGATTTAAAGCGGGATCAGAGCACAGACCGGAGACTCATTAAACATAATAAAATAATTGAATCACAAAAAAACATGAGGACTTACACAACTAAGGCAGGCAGGGCAAAAATTAACACGGCCAACCGAGGAGTAAAGAAACGACAGAAAACCGCGACTATACTGACATTTTGAATGTTTACCCCGAGAAGAAAAAAAAAGATCTGAGTTATTCAAGTTAGTATAGCATAGTGCTAAGTGCAACATTATGATGTTGTGCCATTGTTAAAATAAACTGCAAAACATGTAAACTACCAAAATGAAATGATTAAATTATATACATAAGACTAACTCCGACTATTTAAAATCCCAGCAAATCACTATAGTGTTTCTGAATCAAATTGCTTGATCTTGAAAACAAACGGTAAGCTTTTTTGCTTGATTCAATTAAAATAATTTCCTTTAAAAATCTGATCCGCCTTATTAAGTTGAGCATAAATTCAAACTAGGTCAGATACGCTACTTGTAGATGGATTTTAGGAGTGAACAAAAGGAGTACAGGTGATTTTGTTTAAGATTAAATGACTTGTTTTTAACATACGGTTCCCCATATAGTTCGTTTGTTTCATCTGAGATTCTGCTACTGCAATAAAATCTGAATTTATTTAATGTTTTGATTTATTTTTATATCTTTACGAGGAATCTGGATTGTACTATGAAAAATGTAGACGTTTTATATCAAATAGTAGCAGTTAGAGGCTCGGTTTAATGCACTGCTCAGACACTTTCAAAGCATGACAAATAAATGTCTTCCCCCAGATTACTTAGCAGGGATTGTGAACACATTTTGGTGCATCAAGAAAAAGCTTCTGTATTTCAATTAAAGGTGTAAAGTTATGGAACAAGTTACATGAAGATTTAAAACAAAGCAATAGTTTAACACAATTCGAAAGAAAGTACAAAGAGGTAATTTTCAATAGATACACATACGGGTGATGGAAAGCAATAAGGTGTATTGCAGATAACAACTTGGTGTAAGGGTTTAGAAAGACAAACCAGCATAAAATGGGAAAATGTATAGGTAAATATTAGTAACTGTTACTTCTGACTGCCACTTTGATTTTGATTTGTTTAATGACAGTAGGACTCTAAAGTTTCAAGTGTTTAGGGGGTAGGAGTTTATAAGTTCTTCCTACCCCATTTTGAGCATGATATGTTAACTGAAACAAAAAATCTGTATTTTCTCTTCTTTTTTATGCACTTCTTGTTACTGGGCACTATTTTATTTTTATATTTGTATTTGTATCATGTTCGAATAAAATTTCATTTCATTTCATTTCATTTCATTTTATTTGCATAAACATCTGAAATGTAAACCAACAATAAATCTTGGACATGACGGCATATTTAGGTCTGCATATTTTACGCTACTACATTCATTTTTTTAAAAATGGAGCTTCTGAAAGAAATGGAAGCAAAGCGGCAGCAGTGGTCAAATACACGTGTTTTTTTTTTTTTGTTTTGTTTTTTTTTTTTTTAAAGAAGCAGAAGGAATCAATAAGAGCGGCGTTAAAAGGTTCGGTCCATTTTCTCCTGCGTTGACAGAAACGGCAGAGAAGTGCACACAGTGCAGCCTGCACTCTGTGACCCAGGCCTTAAATAACTCTTCATTTTACAGGATTTGACTAAAATATTCCTCCAGTCAATAACGGGAAAACTTGGAACAGGAGAAAATAACAGAAGAAACGCTGAGCATCCATTACCTCGGAGAAGATACAACACAGACGGACTACAGAGGCTTAGAAGCTTAGGCCTCTTGTCAGGAAAGACGTATAGGATGTTTATCGCTTAACGGCTTCAGGCACGAATACGAGGACAAAAAAAGTTCAGTGATTAATTATGTGGCCATTACTCACAGCCCCGCTGAAATACCAGAAACCAGTTTGAGACGGACAGACTGGGAGGCGGGTTTAGGAAATGCTTTCAAAAAATCTGAAACTGAATAAAACGCGGTCGCTCGGATGAAGGAGGATCAAGAAGTCTGCATTTGCAAACTGCAATTAAGTGATGATGCCAAATACATAAATAAATACAATCTTGTTTCTACAATCCAGGTTCTCCATGAAAAGATCACTAAGATTCTCATAACGGAGGTTTTATTTCCTCTTCTCTGCTTGATGCCATTGTGTTAAGAACCTTGTTGCATTTCCCAAATCGTCCCATTATTCATTTTTACTCACTGTCGTATCTGCAGGGGATTTTTTTCTTCTTCTTCTTCTGTGTTAATTCCAGCAGAGTACTTGGAAGCATTCGTGCTGTGAAAACACCGGATTAACATTAATATGGAAAGAGATTCTAACACATCAGATCATCTAACGATCTGATATGAAACCCCATCAGTCCCTTCCACCGCTGAGATAATTAATGCACGCCTTCCTGCTGCACACTTCTCAGTGGCTCTCAAATCTTCCCAACAGGTTGCAGGTGGCAAATAGTTTGTTAAAAATCTGATTAAGTCTAACAGTCGCATCTTAGTGTGTTGCTTATGTCAGGCTTTATTTGCGCTGGGCCCAACGAGACACTTCACGATGCAATAAAGGCCGTCTCACTCGAGCGAATGTGATGAAGCTGGATCTAATTTTCCAGCATCTCCTCGCTGACTCCAAGATCCTCGTAAAGACGACTCCAGACGAGTCTCCCGCGGGTTACCCCTGCAACGCAGCAAGGTAAATTGCCCCATTCCGTGTAAACGAGCAGAATTAGCTGTTTGTTAACGAGTTTTCTGCTTTAAGTCACAAATTCTCACAGGCTTTTACTTTTACAAAGTGTGTGAACATAAACACACATTTTCTGCTATACTCATAAGCATGTTATGGTTATCTAGTAAGTGTTTCCTAAGAGAGAAAAGAGCCGAGGCAAAAGACAGGAGGCTGGAGCGGCCAACAGAGTCTCAGGAGGGCCGCTTTTATTATTATGAGTGTTTGCTAACAGGAAGTAGCATGTTTTTTTGTTTTTTTTGTTTTGTCAACTGGGCTTGCATGTAAGTGTTCTGAGCCGGGCTTCTATCAAAACGCCTCAGTTCGTACCTGCAGGTCTGAGAGACGAGGGCAAAGTAGAGCAGAAGTCGCAGAAATGCACTTTAACTGCATGTTGTGTTCATTAAAGGTCAGCCTCAGTGCTGTTCACAGTAACCTCTGTGTAACATTCACTGTGGCATTACAACGCCTGCTGAGAACGATATTTTAATCAGGAATCAATTAATAATCGTTCACAGAAATTTCAAGGTTCAAATCCATGTTTTAGTTGCAGATTGTTGGCATAAACTTTTCTACTCACCGGGAGTCTCAGAAATCACTGCAGCCTCATCTCGTCTCTGTGAGAAAACCCCTCATGATCAGGTTTATTCCATGTTTTCTTGTTTTTCTTTAAGATCTAATTCTTGCCAAAAGAAATCCCAATACTTATTTTAGAGCCAGACTTCATTGTAGAAACAGCTAATTAATCTGCACTGCACCTGGTTCCCCCAGCCTTTTTGTGGGAGGAAAAGGTGGTACGAAAATATCTGAAGAAAGTTTGAGATGTCAGAAAATGTTTGTTTCCGTGAGCCGTGCAAGGACTGAGAGAGAGAGAGAGAGAGAGAAGGGGGGGAAAAAAAGACAAGAAAAAATAACTTTTTTTCTTTGCTGTGTTGAATAAGAAAAGAAAACTGAAACAACAGAAAAACGTTTTCACTTGGCCTACAAGACCTAAGCCAAAAAATGAGAGTAAAAAAAAATTACTTTTCTTTTCTGATATTGTAGAAAAAATTGGATGAAAATTTCTTAATGCTCCACCGTAGGAAAGAAATGTTTCATCACCCCCAAAGCTTTCAAATATTTTAATCGACAATGTTGTTCATTTTGCTTATAAAGTCAAGAGAAGTAGAAAATTTGGTCGGACAGAACCTTGGTCCTCAAAAAATGAAGATAAAACAAATCCTTTGAACTGTTTCCAATCTGCATTCCTTCAGTGTTGCTCCCTGTCGTTCTCTGACAGTAGACCGCTCCCCTCTCAGCTGTTTATTATTCATCATTTAACCTCGTCACTCCAGCTGTAGCGCTCACAGAGAAGATACGCTTCTGTGGTTTGCAGAAAGCCTCCTCACTGTCCCCACATGCCGCTGTTTGCTGCTTCTTTCCATGTTGTTGTCGTTGTTTTTACTATTCACCAGTTTGAATTTGTTCCCCATCTTGACCTTTGGTTAATCGATTTCTACGAATGCTGCATATTTGCTGGCTTGTAGTTATTAAAAATAAAACACTTTTCCACATGAATCCTGCCTGCCTCCAATCTAAATGAGTACAACAGTCAAAACATCACAAAAAGATTTGACAGATGCAATTAAAATGCGTCACGTTAAGCTGCTGTACATCAACTATCTATTACGAACAGATTTTTGTTAAAGAAAAAAAAAATAACACGATGCAATTAGAAGAATCAAGACATAAAAGCCGTTCTATGTTTGATAGCACAGGTACACCTGCAGAGATGACAAACTCAAAGAAAATTGTTCGGTGAAGCTGTATAATTTATGTTTGTTGATATGTTTGTTGCTTTTGTTCTGCTTAAATTTGCATTACATTTCAGCAAATGCCTTCTGCTGCCAATTAGCAGTGCGTGCACGTAGGCAGGGCTGACACAGCCAGAAAAATGGATATACACAAACAGGATTTTTTATTATCTATAAGACGCTGAGCGACGCCGTAATGACTTTCGTGTCAAATTAATTAGAGGCGCAAGGTTGCAACCTGAAATCCAACTCATGAAATTACACCACAACACTTCACTGGGTTTAAAATGAATCTCCTACTCTACAGCAATTAATTGATGAGTAAGAAGCGTTGGAAAGAAATGCAATGAATCGATGTGTTCTTACCAACCAGTCAGGAAATATGGATTATATAACGCTTCAGTGTATCGACAAAGCAACGTCAGTCGACCTTTTGACTGAAAACTAAGACAGGTTTGTCATACACCACTAAATATTATTACCCTCCACCAGGGGTGATGAATTTACCCGTTTATTCTCCATATTCATATTCTGCTTATTTTAATAGTACAAATATACCTTAATATGCATCAATACACGCAGTGGAAACCGTCTTAACGCTGTAGCAGAAGGTCTGCAGTCTTCCTTATTTCTGCTCTTTGGGAAACAGCCAATCAACACCAAGGAAAATAAGTGGAGCTCCTGGATTGGCCACTTGGCAAACCCGCCGTCAGAGTCAGGCAGCATCGCTTCAAGGGATCTCAGCTTCCAAAACTGGTTTTTCTTTTGAACATTGAGGAAAACATTCAAACAGGCAGATTTTGTGCAAATAATTACATTCCAGAGAAAAATCTATGAATATAATAATCTATATCTGTACAGCATTTGAGCTCCTTCTAGTATGAAGGGTGCTTTTTATATAAAATTGATTGCTTGGTCGATATGATGTTCTGATTATGGATTTGCTCATTATTTAATGTTTCATTATCAATAGCTGTCTAATAATACTGTGGCTCCTGCAGAGTTAGCACAGCAAACAAAAAGATAGAGTAGCTATTAAGTCTAAGACTTCAAACAAGTCAATTTTTAAATTAAAATACATATTGATGTTATGCAACAAGCCCACTGATGGCTCATTGCTAATGACGGGCAATAAAGCTATTTCCTACGGGTTTTAGTTGCCTGGTGTTTATTTGACGCGTCATAAAAATCACTGACTGGAATTGAGAGGTCAGATACGGGGCAACATTAGAGCTGGAATAAACGAACCGGAACAATCTGCCATTTGGAAACAGGTCCGCACCGACTCGTCTGTCTTCAGCGGCAGACTTTAAGAAACGCCAAAATTGAAATACACACACACACAGTTTAGAACAGAAACAGCTTCCTTTTTTATGGATTTTATAACACGGCAACTAAATGAAATTTATTATTACCCCGGCGCCTCTGTAGTGACGCCGGCTTGTGTGTTTGTAGCCCTGAGTGTGATTCATGGGCTGCTGCTGCTGCCGCCGCCGGGCGCAGATAAGCCATTAAGTCCCGGCTCCAGAAAGAAGCTGTTCACATCAGTACGCCTCTGGATCGGAGGCGTACAGTAACACTGTCCATGCACTCTGCGACAAACAACGTGATGGACGCCGGGTTGCAGAGTGCGACTGTGTAAACGTGTTCCTGTGGGGGGAAGTGGTGAGGATGTGCAGCGCTCCAAGTGTTTATGCTGCCTGGAGGTTGTAATAGAAGAGGACTTCTCTCACGACGCATGAAACTTATATAACAATGTCAATAAATGTGTATGCTCAGATTTATTAGGCCTGTTTAAACACACAATTACGAGGCTTTATATATATGTATATATATACACATATATATATATATATATATATATATATATATATATATATATATATATATATATATATATATATATATATGAAAGTTGATCCATGGATTTACACTGATGTTCACATACGCTGTAAGGAAACAATATTTTTTATCAATTACAAACTTTAAATCAAGCTGAATATTTTCTGAGGTCAATTATGACTCTCAAAGTTAAAGCTGTATTAACTAAATACTTGATTCATGAAACAGAAAGAGTTTTCATTGATTGATTTTTTTAAAAAAAAATCATTTTCTTACATGCATTATCCTTTTCTTCTACACCTGTCTTTCCACTCATGCTCTCATTAATATACTTGTATGTAGAGATTTGTCAGGTTCTTTAGCAGAGACGAGGCCCAGCCTCTCTGATTGGTCCAATCAGCAGTCTTGATTGTGTTGGCATCTCATTCCTCATGAAAAATGTTCTCATTTTCTGACAAACTGAATTTTGAATTTTCACAAGCTGCATGCAATGATCTTCAAAATCGAAATAAATATAGGTGAGTATGTAACGAAAGAACTGGTTTTCCTTTTTGAATTGAATCCTGAAAATAAAATACCTTCTTTTCGGAATCAGAATCAGCTTTTTATTGGCTAGGTTTGGGAGCCAAAACACTGAATATTACACTGGTCCTAATCAATGAATGCTGTTTCTGAAGGTCCATGGAGAAGGATTTTTTTTTCCCCCTCTATATTTGTCTTTACAAATGTATTTTACGTCTGCTTTTAGCAGATTCAACACTAGTTTAAAATTTCAACCTTCTTTAAGCAAACCAGCATGTACAAATTCACTGACAATTTTTATTAGTAACCAAGCTCATTTACTACTAATAATAATAATTGATGAAGATCTCAGAACAGATGCCAATGCTCTGCCATACCTTATGTAGCTGCTCTGTCTGCAGTGTCTCACAGCTTCACCAGGCTTCCCTGCTAGTTTGGTGGAATCCCTCGGCTGACTCGCGACTCCCTGGACAGATTATTAGATCTTCCAGAAGGCCTGGAAGAGGCTGGAGAGAAAGCCGGAGGAAGTTGGTGGCAGGGCCAGAAATCTGGTCTGCTTTGTTCATACGATCTAACATCCTTAATTTTGGGAGCTCTGTGATTGGCCGCTACTTGTATGTGAAGCTGATTTTATCCCCTGATCTTACCTACCAAAGGTCTATGCGTGGGAGCAGTGACTCATCTCAAAGTTGCGTGATTTGAAAAGCCATGCCCCAGAGGCATCCTGATCAGTCGGCCAAACCAACTCGGCTAATTTACGACGAGGAGGAGCGCACGCTTGCTAAAGCAGAAACCAATCTCCCACCGTTCTCATTTAATCTGTACAAGAAAGGAGGATTCATTTAGATAAAACTCCAGATTCAAAGCAGGTGAAGATGAAGAAATGTTTGAGGCAGCTTGACTGGCTCCCTCAAACCACAATCTAAATTTGCAAACCTAGACTCAGAGATTTATTACATCTTCAGAAAGACTCTACTGCCAATAAAATCCCTGCAGACTCATTGTTTGCATTTGAAGACAGGAGCACTGAGCTTCACTTCAACACACAAGCTCAAAGCAGGAGCTCCAGAAGACAGGAGGCAAAAATTGCACCTGCGATACGGACAGAAGGGTTTAATGAAGTGAATCAAGTGTGACATCTTGGGGCCTGATCTGTAAAGAATCCAGATAAGGAGAACCAAATTGCATGAGCTAAAAAAAAATAATAATAATTGTACTGCAGTAAGTGGGCGTGTTGCACACGATCTACAAAGATTGCAATTGACTGCATGCACCAAAGTGGTGCAGGCCACCCTCTTTAAGTAAGGGTGCTGCTGGCTGTCGTCATGGAGAGTCTGAGAGCAGAGTGGCCAAATTAGACAGTCATTATGCTGGAGGCATAATACTACTATCAATAAATAACGTATTTCATTCAATTATGTATATAAAAATAGCAAAAACATTTAAAGATGACTGAAAACAAAGTTTTATTACAATTCCGTCGGCCAATTATTACTTGAAGGTCAAAATATGAAGACAGTGAGTTTGGACTATTTACAAAAACAAGAAAACATGTGGCACATCTTTACAGAGATTCTCTATTTGATTCTTTAAATTGGGATGTTTCTCGTTGCTTTACTTAGGGAGAAAAAAAAACAAAACAGACTTACCAGCCGTGAAAAGTCTGTGAATTAAACTCGCATTTAAACTGATACAGGGAGAAGAAGTTTGTGTGTTTTAATCATAATTCCTCTACTCATTCATTAAATCGCTGTTTTTGCTTCAAAGCTCCACGAGGAACAAAAATATTCTGACAGAAGATCAGATTTGGACAAGATGCTTTGTTGGCGTTGTCATAGAACATGTGACTCACAGATGCATCAAACTGACAGAACCGGGATGAATAATTATAAATCTGAAAAAAAAAAAACGAAAAAAAAAAGAAAAAAAAAACCAGAGAGATGACAAGCGTGTTTGGGGGATTGTCAGGCCGAAATGGTGCCAGATCTGCAGCTGGAACAAAGTGACAGACACACAAAGGACTTCACACCCATCTGTAAGCCTCAAAAAAACAACTGTAAAAACAGGATCTTAACTGTTAGCAGTGCTGCCTTGCAGCAAGAAGGTCCTGGGTTCTGATGGGTTCTCCTTGTGCTGCTGTGGGTTTTCTCCATCAGCTCTGGCTTCCTCTCCTGGCTAAAAACACACGATGATGCTAATTTGTCAAGCTAAATTGGCCCCATAAGAAATTGTGTGCATGCATGGATGGATCGATACCAGTGTGCAAAGACCGATGCTTTAGTATCAGATTCCATCTTTTTTTTTTTTTCCCCAAATTATATTTTACACTTTCTTTATTTGGGAAAAATGCACAGAATCATGTTAATATGTTATTTTGTAGATAACTTTGTCCATATTATGTTCTAACTTGAACAAAATAATTCAAAGAAATAAAAAAACACAAAGAACTTTGACGATGTATTAAACTTATATAAAAAGTATCAATACACTCCTTCTATGCACTTGGTATCAGATCAATATGTAAATCTGCAATGTTGCCCACTTCTGTTAGATAGATAGATGGGATGTTAACTGTTTGCTCTGTTGAATCAAACCACCAATATGTCTGAGAGTATTTTTCTTTCCACCTGAACAAATAATTACCTAGAACCAAAGCCCTTCTCTAAGAATCAGACTTTGGCAACTTTTAATTTTTTCACCCATTTTGAGTTTCAGCTCTAAATTTGAAAGGTATTTGACAAATGTAAGCGCCCGGTTCCTCTGGCTTGACAACAATCAACACTCCTTCCTGCCGGTTCAGGATGTGGATGTAATGCGAAACGGCCAAACAGCCTCAGGATGCAACACAAACATTGATCGAAATGCAACGATTCAGTGATTTCTTCTTCTGCGGACACGTCTTGCGATCACTGACATCACATGCATCAGCATTGAAAGGCAACACACAGGAACAATGCTGATCCCTTCACACTGCGAGCGAGGAGTTGAGATCAGTATCTATGATAAATAAGATGAATGACGGGTTAGAAACTCAACACTTGTTCAGCTGCGGAAGGCGCAACGTTTTTACTTTTTTTTTTTTTTTTGACCCTGAGAGTGAAGGGTTTTGTGTGGGAAAAAAAGAAAACATGAAGTATGAAGGTTATGAGAGCACAACCTTCATGGCAAATACTTTTTGAAGGTTTATGAGAAAAAAGCCCTTGAAGGGACAAAAAGACTACTTTAGAGAACAACTGTCCAATTTCAATAGGAATACAGACTCCGTCCTTTTAATCGCTCCTGTAGAAGATTACCTTCTGTGGAAATGAAAGGGACGTATGAGGTCGACTCCAGATGCTCTGTTTGTTGCCTAGGAACGCAGCTTTTAATGGACAAAAGACCTGAGGGTCCGTCACCCCTCTCAAACTGCAGTAACAAACAACCACAAGATGTTTCAACAAACTAATAGCTTGGACGCTCCTGTTTGTTACAGCCACAAGCTTTTTGCTTTATACTCTATAGCAAAGCAAAGCAGAACACAATTTGTAAAGTGGAAGGAAAATGATTGAAAATGTTTTACAAATAGAAATCTGAAAAGTGTGGTGTGCCTTTTTACTTATCCCTCTTTAGTCTGATAACTAACTCTTCCAGAAATAATCTAGTTAGTCCCCTTGTGTTTAACTTAATCGCGTTACAGCTCCAGCTTTTCTCTGAGTGCCTCAGAGGTTCGTTGGAGAACATTAGTGAACCAAAAAAAACCCCAAAAAAACAAAAAACAAACAGTGAGCAGGTCAGGAATAAGGATGTCAGATTTAAACAGCGTCCCCACGCCTCAAGGGAACACAGAGAACGGTTCAATCCATCATCTGAAAATAGAAAAACGTCCCAATTAATGTTTGCTACAAGCTGTGGGACGTATAGACAATGTGGGAAGCTGTTCAGAGATAACAGGACAGGCTAATCCTGGAGGGGAACGTGTCAGAGGCTGCAAAGGACAGGAGGGAGGGGATTTAATATTAATCAATATTGATAATTAATAATAGCTTTTTTGTTTTAAATATCTTAAATGCTGTCAAACAGTGGATAAAACATCACCTTTTTCTGTTTTATCCACAGTTTCCTCTCAAGTTGTTGTACTCATTTTCTCCTTTCTCTTCACACCGTTTTTATATTTTTAAGCAGCTATGAGGCACGATGGCAAAACCGAAAACAGCTGCTGCGCAAGTTACCCAACAGGCTGTTGCTAGGTAACCAACGAGTAGGAGAGTCAGTCGATGCCACCCACCTTGCTTAGCTAGCTCTGAGAGGCCTTTCCTCTGCCTACATCCCCCAGAATGCTGTGCGGCTCCAGATCGGAGTTCAGTGAAATGATTGAAAATCCAATCTTGTAATTCTACAAAGTATTAACGAAGTTGGGCCTGAATACAAATGCCTGCCATACTTTTTCAGATTTTTATGTGCAGAGAATTCAAAGCCACGTGCCTCTCCGTTCATGTGACAGCTACGAGCTGCTTTGTGTGGGGCTATCATGTAAATCGCTAATAAAAGGTGCATGAAAAGTTTGATGCAGCAGCAGGAAAAAAAATGTTAAAAGGTTCAAGGAGTTTGACTACGTTTGCAAGACGCAGCACTTTGATTCCTCATGTTTGACCTTTCAAAAGGATTCGGTGGCTGAATAAATCGTCCCTCCGGTTGGTTATTTAAAATCTCAGCTTTGATGTAAAAAAAAAAAGAAAAAAGAAAGAAATGCATGTTTTACAGTTCTTATTGGAGAATATAAAGAGCAGGAGCAGAGCGAATCAGTCAGTAAATCACAGACAGATAAAAGAGCTAAGAACGTCCATCAGTCTTTGATTAGGAAAAAAACCCATGAAATGAGTCTGTTCTTTGCTCTGTTTAATTATTCATCACTGACTCTTGCTCCATTCCTCAGAAAAATGACTGTATCCACTTTCCCCCGGCAGTTCTTTGGTCTCCTTGTTTCCCTTTCTTTGTTTTTTTTTTTTTTTTTTTTTTTTTTTTAACCAAAAAAAAAACCTTCGAAAAAAAAACAAAAAAAGCTTAATTTTCCAAAAAGCCCTTAG